AACTAAATCTACAAAAACACATTGAGGAGTTTCTTCTGATTGTACTTGGGAAGTTGATACTATAAAAAATTTTTAAAATAAAAATCCAATTAGTAAAATTATATTTTTATAATTCAGTTTATATAAAACAGATCTTTAAGCTTCAAGTTTTTCTTACTTTTTTGAAAAATGCTAATTAGAATAGATTATTGTAAATTAAACTATTTGTTTTTTACTATTGACTTAGATATTTATTTGTAAGTTTTTAATAATAATTAAGAGTATAAAAATTTCTAAAAAGTGCTATTATTTTAGAACACAATTTTTTAATTTATATAATCAAAATAAAATATAATAATTATTTAAATTATAATAAATAAAGAGCAAGCTTTAATAACAAAATAACAATAAATTATTTTGTAATATTGATTTTTTAAGTATTAATTTAACTAAGCTCAAATATGAGAAAAATTTTATTTATTTATTTAAAAATTTTTTAAAAAGATTCGAAATTTTAAAACAGAAAGTAACTCCATTTATCTCAAAATAAATTAATTCTAAAACCCCTAATAGTAAAGATTATAAATAATGCTTGGCAAAATCGAATTACAGAATTAAATTCACAAATTAAATTATTAATTTCAGACAATCAAAACCTATTTTTAGCACAGTATTAAATTTAATTGTTTGAATATTCAATTTTGCCAAGTACTATTTATTTTAAACTACTGCCAGCTCTTCCATAAATGATTAAAATTTGATCCACCATGCAGGTTTCATAAGTAATATCCGATAACCTGTCATTTTTGATATCCGATAGCCTATTTATTTAAATTTCTGATATTACTAAATTATTCTTTATTTTGGTTTATTGTGGTTTGCAAAATTATGTGAAATTTGAAGATCAATAAAAAAAAAGTAATCACTGATTTCCGATTACTGATTTCTAATTTCTTCAATATTTTTTTTGACTTTTAGACTAAATAAAATTTGTGCATTTATCATTTTTAAAGTTTGACTAGATATTTTAATGTGCAATATCTATTTTTGCAAATATAATAAATATGCAACTTTTATTTCTATAAAAAATAATAAAACTTTTACAAAATAATAGATATACAAATTTTGTCTAATTAAAAATGTTAAAGAAATTAGAAATCAGTAATCAGAAATCGTGATTACTTTTTTTTAATGATCTTTAAATTTTACATAATTTTGCGAACCACAATAAATGAATACTAAAAATTGTAAGATTGTTGAAATATTATTACGATCATTCGCATAGGATATATAGAATGTACAATTATTTCCAGTTCTTTTTTTTTTGAATATTATCAGCTATACTGCTCTAAAAAATCATGTTTCTGTCCCATAATATAGATTATTTTTGCTTGTTTGATCAACAACAATGGGCTTTAAATAAATATCTATTCTAATTAGCAGTTTCAAATTAGCATTGGATCTAAAAGTTTACAAATTTGCTGGACACCATGCACAAATAATTTTCTTAAATTACATACACTTAGTTTTACAATAAATATATCCAAATCTATTCTAGGAATATCTTCTAGCTTTATACTAATAGAAATCTCTAATATAAAGATAAATTATTTTATTAGTATTTTCATTTTTGACTGATATTGTACCCTGAATTAGAATCTATCCTGATTCAGAATCGGGACAGTCTCGAATAAGAATTTTGTAATTTTGGCCTGAATTATATTAGCCAAAATTAAAAAATTTTTATTATAAACCTCAATTCTAACCCTAACACTAATCTAATATCTTAATTCTGCCAAAACAATTCACAAGATTCCTATCTGGGGTAGCACGATTCTGGATCGGGACGATTTCAATCTGGGTACAACAGATATATTTTCACAAATATTATCTGAATAAACTTATATTCTTAAATTATTTTTTTAACTTTACAAAAAAATAAACTTCTAATACAAATTTCTAAGATTTCTTTAATAACCAAGAAAATGTTAAAACTTCTTGTATTATACATATATATTAAAGATGAAAATTGATAAAAAAAAAAAATATAATTAATTTCATAGTTTAAATTATCTTTAATTTTAGAATATTCATCACTTTTTGCAGATAATAATATTCTGGAAATCAGTTGTGTCTCTATATTAGATCTTAATATATCTAATAACTCATGTCTATTCATATTTGGTATCACAATATCTATAGATTAATAAATTTTATCATTAAATTAATCTAATTATAAATTATATATAATTACTTGCCACTAAGTTAAGTTTTTTTTAAAACTTTTAAAGCATCTTGGCCATCACAAGCAAGCCGTATTTGATTTTTTGTCAAGTCATATTCTATTAGAAACCAATATTTAAATATCGTTTCTTGATTTACTTTAAAAGCTACAGTAATATCTCTATAATTTCCTCCTTGCTGTCCACCAGACATAAATCAGGTTTAATTTTTAACTTCAAGGTTGCTTCTACCATAGCTTCTTTAGTAGTCTGGAGAGGATTTTTACTTTCTTTTCCTTTTTGCACTTGGTTTTCTAGTAAAATATTTTTCTTGTTAGCAGTAATCAGTCGGTCAGCAGAATGTTTATTAATTTTATTTAAAATTTGTGTTTGGTTTTTTAAATCTTTGATTTCCTTACCCCAATATATTGTGTAATAAGTTCTTTGACAAGAGCAAGCCCTATTCTGGTACCTTTTTGACTACGTGAACTTTGAGATTCTACACGATAAAAACACTGAAATATATTTGATAAAGATGTTTCTGCTCACTTTAAGTCTGCTTGAATCTATATCAATAAATGGTGATTTCTTTAATAACTCATGCGGTTGGCAAAACAATATCATTGTATAGTTATTAATCTAAATCTCCATTGCCATAGATAAAAACGTTGTACTGGTACGTATATACGTATACCAACAGTATGTACTAGCGTATAGTAATAAAATTCTTAGAATTTTATTGGCTAGTCACACAGAGCTAATGATCACATGTAGAATAGTCGGAAGGAATCTAAAATAGTCTGATCGATATTTTGTTGCCATAAAAAAAACGATCTATGCTATCCTAATTTGGTATATTCCCTAACTATATTAGCTAAATTATATTTTATTTATTTGTTTATTTTAATAAAAATTAATTTGATTTACATGTTATACAGATCTGTATTTCAAACACCAGGTATTAAATTAGTAAAATCCTTAATTATTATAATTAATTATTAGAAAGAATAAATGGATTAAAAATTTGGAAAAGGAGAATAAGAAGTTAAAAAGAAAGGTGAAAGTGATGGAAGAGCATAAAAATCGATGGAAACAGAAGTATTTGGAAAGTATAACTACAATAAGAGAGATAATTGAGAAATTAATAAAAGAACAGAGAGAAGAAAAATTATTTGTAGAT